GCGGGTAGTCCCGAGCGGGCAAGATAACTCCATCTTGCCCCCTCGGGTAGCCAATCACAGCGCAGGATTTGATTCATCTTGCCCGCTCACGGAGCTAGCCATGTAATAAAGTTAAATAGCACCAACGGGAATCTTCTTAGAAAGTCTGTTTAAGGACAATGCTTTGTACTAAATTAATTTTTGGGCATATTGAGGTGAATAATTGTCATTTCTCTCGCAGAATAGACAAGTTAACAAAGCTCCCAAGAAAACTCATTCAAAGCAGCGAAGCATTACAGGTTAAACCACTTATCTTTGATGGAAATCTTTTGTCGAAATTAAAAAGTAGACATTTTATTCCTAATAGTCATATTACAGTCGAACCTCGTTTGTTCCTGCAACATTGCAGGCTCCGAAAAGGTGGCGGTTTCCTTCGAACAGAAAAGATCTCATAAACTTGTGGGCTACTCTCCACATGAAGTGTTCCACAGAGGTGTTCTGTTTAAGCTGGTTTCCGAAAGCGTGGTTTGGCTGTATTCTTAATTATATCGGAGCTTAATTTTGCATCTTGCTTTAAGACATTTTTCGTGAAGATTGCATCTGTAACACGTCTTTAACGTATTTACAGGTTGTTTACTATGAGAAGTTTGGTCATTATCATGCTCATTTCGACTCCAGCATAGAACATTCCACTATTCCTTGCTGTCATCAAAATCATGCACGTTCTTCGTTATGCAGGCTTTGCAGGTGGGAAAAGATTTGAATCTTTAATCGATCTTTATTTTTCCTCGGGGAGACTTTCATATGAAAATGACGGTATGGTCCTCGTTGCTATAGTGGTTATATAATTTGCAGCTTTGGGCCATGGTGTATTGATCTAAAACGCCGTTCCCTTTAGAGTTATCTCGGTACTTTTTGGGGCAAGGGCAAGAAACAAATTGTTTGACTGGACCTACCCTTGGAAGTTACATCTAGTACCTCTTAGGAGTACAAAAAAATCAGTCCACGTCGTAAAAGAATTTCTCGTTCCTTTTACTAGTTCTTTTCAAAGTTTCCCTTCATGTGATCAGTCTCGTCAATTTGATAAGGGAGTTCTCCTTGGCGAATTATGACGAATAGCTTGGGATAAGTTTTCTTTAAAATGAAATGAAAGAGAAGTTTAAAAGTCAATGTATCGTGCACATTTCTAAAAAAATATCGTTTAATTACAGTCTCAGCTTAGAAGTATTTACATTTCACTTAACATTGTTTGTTTGCGGCCAACAGGTTTATTACGGTACTTTACTATCTCAATGATGTTGAGGAAGGAGGTGAAACAGCATTTCCCTTTGCAGATAATTCAACCATCTCTCGTGAGGTGTGTATGTCTTTGCATTGTTAGAAAAATCTTTCGCTGGATAGCATTTTTATGATTAGTGGACGGACGTGTCTTAATTGACCCACTGTTTGCCGATTCGCATTTCAATCGAACACGTTAACCCCCTGTTCAAAATTATTCACTATTGATTGCGAGCAATGATACTCGAGTTTTTCGTAGCCTTAATTTGATGTTACTATATGTTTACAAAAAAAACTTACAGCCACAACAATGAGTGATGACTAGCTCTCTCTTCCTGTTTGTGATAGGAGCTGGAACATTTAAAAGAAGATAAGTTTAATCTTAGCACAAATTGTCACGCAGCAAACCTTGTTTTTCCTGCAAAGAAAGGCACCGCCATCATGTGGTACAACAATTTCATCGATCACGACAGCGGTCTTCTTGGCAACTTAGACCTACATTCACTTCACGGTGGATGTGACGTCACCAAAGGAGAAAAATGGATCGCTAATAGCTGGTTGACGGCTCCAACTAAGGACTCAAGACACATAAAGAGTATTTATTAGGACGCTGGATAGAATGAACATCTACGGTTTACTAGGGACCTTTCGCAATGACGACGGCGCGATGGCGACACCGACGCCGACGCCAGGGACGACGCCTAGTAAAAAATAGATCTATGTTTTATTTTAGCATAGTTCATAGAGGGGGGGGGGGGG